CACCTCCAAGCAACTTCATCCAAAGGACACAGCTGCAGCTTCTGTTGGCTCCTGCTCCATGCACTCAGCAGCTCCAGCCTTAAAGTGGCTGCAGGCAGAAACACTCTGAGCAGTTTTTTTTTCTCTCACTATGGCTTTTCCCACCTTCATGAACTCCGTAGGTCTCTCCTCCTCTTCCCCTCAGCTGTAGGGGCCCCAGCTTGGCTGTTGTTGCATTTTTATAGTTGTAAATTGGTTGATTTGTGGGAGAGAGTCATGCTGGGGACTGTCTATTCTGCCACCTTGACCAGAAGCCAAATTTCAAGCTCTTTTTCTAGCTTTTTTAGACAGAAACTTAGATAATTGATTTTTGGACTTCTCTTCTCCTATAAGCATATGAATCTATAATTTCCTCTACTAAGCACTGCTTTAATTGCAGTTCGTAGTTTTTGCTGTTATAAGGCCATGCTCTAACCAACTGAGCTAACCAGCCAGCCCCCAATATCTGATTTTTAATTGAAGTGTTTAGGTCATTTACATTTAGTATAATTATCCATATGGTTGATTTAAAATCTACCATCTTGTTGTTGTTGTTTTCTGTTTTCCATCTGTTCCTTGTTTCTTTTTCCTCTTTTCTTACCTTCTTTTGGGTTGAGTATTTTTCAGTGCTCTATTTTATCTTAACTACCAATTTATTAGCTATCCCCTTTGTTTAATTTTTAATGGTTTCTGGAGTTTACAATATGTATCTTTAACTTATTACAGTCTACCTTCCCATAGTGTTATACTACATCATGTATAATGTAAGAACCGTGCAACAATACGCCTTTATTTTTCTTCCCCCATCCTTTGTGCCATTCTCATCATATACTTTAGTTGTACATATGTTCTAAACCTGACATTACATATTACTTTTTTGTTCAGTTTAGTTTTGTTTTTTCAGGGGCTGGCAGGTAAGGGGGTCTAAACCCTTGACCCTGGTGTTATAACACTGCACTCTAACCTACTGAGCTAACTGGCCAGCCCCCCCACATTACTTCATTATAATTTTTTAAACAATTATTATTTAAAGAACTTTTAAAATTATATATTTTAAATTTATTATATATTTAATTTTACAAATTGTATTATATATACTTAATATTATATATCTTAATATATATTTTCTCATGTATTTAAATTTTTCAGTGCTCTCTTATTCTCTGTGTAAATATAGATTCATGTTGTCACCTGGTATTATTTTTCTTTCTCCTGAGGAACTTTCCTTTTCTTTCTTGTAGCACAGGTCTACTGAAACAATTTTTCTGGATTTTGTTTTCTGAAAACTTCTTTACTTCACCTTTGTTTTTAAAGGATATTTTCACTGGATATAGAATTCTGGGGTAGTAGTTTTTTCTTTCAGCAACCTTAAAATTTTGTTTCAATGTCTTCTGGCTTCAAATGTCTGCTGTAATTCTTACCTTTTTTCTTCTATACATAATGTGTTTTTATCAAGTGTTTTAAAAGTTTTCTTTTTTTTTTTTTTTTTTTGTCCTTTTTGGAGTCTGGCCGCCCTGCGCTCAGCCAGTGAGCACTGTGAGCGCACCGGTCATCCCTATATAGGATCCAAACCCACGGCCGGAGCGCTGCTGCGCTCCCAGTGCCGCACTCTCCTGAGTGCGCCATGGGCTCGGCCCTAAAAGTTTTCTTTTTATCATCTATTTTCAGCAATTTGATTATGATGTGCCTTGTAAGGTTTTCCTAGTATTTATCATGCTTGAAATTCATTCAGCATCATGGACCTATGGGTTTATAGTGTTCACTACATTTGGAAAATTTCTAGCCATTATTTTTTCAGATATATATCTCTACCTCAGGAAGTAAACTGTTATCTCCAAGAGAGCCGTGTTCGTGTGTCCACAAATCTGATCAGAGCACTTTTAGAGCTAGTAATGTTTCTTGCAATACTTAGCATACCTTGCACATATTTGCTTCTCAGTAAATATTTGTAGAGCTGTGTATAGTAAATATTTGTAGAGCTGTATTTGTAGCCATATATTCTTTTTTTTTTTTTTTTTTTTTTTTTCCTGGCGGCTGGCCAGTATGTAGATCCAAAACCTTGACCTTGGTATTATCAGCACCATGCTCTAACAGAGTGAGCTAACTGGCCAGACTGGTTCTTTAATGCTTTTTATTTTTAAATTTATTTATTTAACCATAACACAAAAACTTATAAGAGATATGCTGAAAATAAATAGCAATAAATCAAAATAAGTCAGGCACAGAAAGACCAATACTGCATGGTCTCTCATAGAAGTAGAGAGTAAATAATGTTTACCAGAGAGTGGGAGGGGAGGGGATAGACGGGAGGGGACAGAGTGAACTAAAGGGTACAAAACTATGCTATTTACCCTAAGTGAGTCATTGTGCAGTATACACATGAATTGAAACAAGACACTGTACCCCACGAAAATAAATATAAATAAAAGTGAAAAAGTAATAATAAAATTTATTTATTTAAATAAGAAATACATGCTCATGGTAAATAAGTCAAACAGTACAAAAATTCATACTGTAAAAAGTAAGTCTTTTTTTCACTGAAGTTACCGATGTCCTCACCCTCCTAAGGCTACCATTGTTAGATTTCATTTTTATCCTCCCCAAAATTGTCTGTGCATGTTCAAGCATATATGTGTATATATCCTTTTTTTTTTCCTTTTACCCAAGTGGTAGCATATTATATATACTGTTGTGCATCTATTTTTTAACTTAATAAATCTTGGTGATCATTCCACATCGGTATATATAAAGTGGCCTTTTTATTAATGGCTGCATAACATTATATCATATAGATGTATCATCATTTGTTTAACTGGTGCCCTATTGACAGACATTTAAATTGTTTCCAGTCTTTGGTTATTGCAAATAATGTTGCAGTGAATATCCTTCTACTTAAAGTGAGAGCATGCTTCACAAGTAAGTGAGGTCTCTAGCACATGGGGCCATGCTGATGTTCTCTCTGTCATTTAGATTTTTGGTGTATATGATACAAACATTGCAAAAGAAATCTCCTATTTCTTTTACAAGGAAAAGAAAAAATGTCAACAATAGAGAGTGCTATGATAAGAAAGTAAAAGCAACAACTTTGAAAGTTTGAATTTCTGGTGTTATAAACCTTGTATCACTAAGAAAAGTTAAAAGTTAGTTTCCTCTTCTAATGAGCAAGCCTTAAGAAGAAATAAGCTAATGAGATATAAGCTCCTGCTTCTGATGTCACAGCTCTGGGGAAACGCGAATGAGAAGCAGGTGTCCCTCCTGATGATAAGAGAAGTGCCAGGAGTTGTAACCCCAGTCGCAGGCAGGACCACAGCAGTGTGTTTCTTGAGAGACTGGAAGACATGAGAGAACTGGCTCGACCCCTTGGCTTGCTCCCTGAATAAGCACTGAGAAAGCTGCCTGAGAAGGATAACTAATACCTCGTCCTTCCTCAACACCGTGCAAACTGAAGAACAAGTCCTTGGGTGACACTTTCTTGTCCTGGTACCAAGGATAGAGGGTAGAGAGGGAAGGGGATGATTTGGTGCCACTACGATCGATCTATAAGTAACAATAAAATATATGATATTCTTTATTATAAATTTCACATGGCCAATGGATTCTCACAGATAGCTTTTGTTGATTTTTGTCATACTCTGTATTCTTAGCCAACCTATGGTTGCAACTGACAAAAAGTGTTCTGGCGTGAATATTGGTTTACACGTTCATTTACATTAATGAGCAGGGCGAAAGTGGAATAACAAAGAGGTATGTTGGAGCTTAACTCATTTGTCAATGACATGAGTGATTCCTTTGCTAAATTAGGTAGCAATTTTCAAATACTGGAGGACTTCCTCAAATTTTTCTGTGCTCACAATATAATAGCTACAGATATGCTTAAATTTAATCTGCATCATTAACATTTTTTTCATCACTTTAGATGATCGACAAAACAATAAGCCCTGATTTGTAGTATTTGCTGATTCTCATGGTGTAAATAACTCCCAATGTGGCTGATTTCAAGCTAGGTACCAACATGATGTTCCTGAACACTCCCTGGGAAGAGACATGCACTAGCCCACCATTACACACTGTTTCCACCCTGTAAGCACAATAGATGCAAAATAATCTCAAGAAAAGAAATAGTAGTAAAATAATTAACAAGTGATGAGTTTGGGCTGTTTATTACATTTGTTTCTGATATGTTATTTTATTGTAAGTTTATGTAGTTTAAGTTTTAGTAATGTCTGTCTTTAACAACTGGCTCATAAAATTCCTGAACATTTAACAATTGGCTCTCAATGACCCGTTTTGAGCTAGCTCCAGCATACCACTGTGCCACGACTTCCTCCTTCACCGTTTCCAAATTAAAAAGCCTGTTTGTGTTGTTAACATCCTGGTGTTTGGGGAAAAAAAAATCTCATGAGATGGGGTAGGGAAGATGAACGCCCTCTTGCTGCCCTTAGACTTCTCTGGGCAGGGCAGAGCAGGGCAGGGCAGGGCCTGACCTTAGGCAAACAGTTCGCACATTACAGAGAAAGTTTGTGTGAGAAGCTTCACTGCGAGGGGAGAGGATTAAAGCCCGTGGGTTGGTTTCCTGACAGCCTTCCTTGCTGTTGTAGCCAGCTCACTGCTGTCTTGGCATAACCTTGGGAGGGTCATTTTCCTCCTGTTTGGGGTAAGAGTGAATGTTTGGAAAAGTGGGATAGGCCACGTTACTTCTGGTTTGCAGCTAGTGGAAAGAGGGATAAAAGAGCCCCGAACATCCTCTATCCTTCCTCTCCTTTTCTTTTTTTCCTTTCCTCTTGTTACCCATCACATTCCTTGATGTCATTCCTGCCATTGTGAGCTGACAGGCCCTCCCAGCCCTGGTGGATAGCCCGTAAGTCAGGAGGGCAGGTGGAGCTGTGGAGGTGGGGGGCAGTGGTCACACCAACACCTTGGAGTTGGGCTGGGTCTGCGTGGAGCCCCAGAAATGTTCCCCAGCCCATTTTCCCCAAGAACCAATGAGTACAATTAGGGGCCTCCCACCTGAGGTCAAGGAACCAGGCCCTGGAGTGGAACTTGGGGTAGAAGATGGTCTTCTTTGTCAACTGATTCATTCTCCAGAATTCAACCTGTTCTCCAACTCAGTGGTGTTTGAAAGCAACTTTATCCAGGTACCCTTGTGCAGCTCAGGTCTAGCTGTCTTTCCCTTTCCGAAACCTGTTCCTAGGAGTTGATCAGAAAATTCTGTGGCCTTTGAAAGCGCTGGGGAGGAGAAAGAAGCCACTAATGCTCGAGAAAACCAGAAGGTCGGGGTCCCAGGTTCACCTCAGTTTGTGCTTACAGCATGGTGGAGCTCCCTGCAGGTCATATGCTTTAAGGAAACAGATTTATACTTTACAAAAGGAGAGATTAGAGCTCAGTCTCCAGGCAGGGTCCACCGGCACCTCCTCTGGGCCAGTTGTCTAAACTGGATGGTTACAGGGAACAAAGGCTGCTGTTTGAAACCCTGCCTTAAAATCCAACCTCCTTTCTCTGGGGCAGTTTAGAAACAGCCTTATTTCTAGCAAGGCCACTGGGTATATCAGAATGTCCAGATTCTGTCATCCCCCGAAAGAGTGGTGAGCTGACTGATGGTGAGATGGAGAACTGTGAGTGTGGGGTGGCTGTTTTAAGATGGATCAAATCTTACCAGGTGCTGCCTGCCTCTCTCTAGCAGTGTAGCCTGAACCCATGCACCTGTGCTCTTTGCTGGTGTGGCATAACCAGTTAGTCAGCCAGCAAGCACATATTAAGTACCTGCTGTGGGCAGGGCAGGAGATGCAACGAGAGATCAGACAGTGTCCCTGGCCGAGAAGCTTATGAATTTGGCTTAAGTTACAAAAGGGTAACTGTCTAAGCAAGCTCCCTGTCAGATAGTTTGGGCCAACTGATCCCTAAAGCATGAGTACAGAAAGTGGATGCTGGGGGCATTCAGAGCACTCTCTCTGCACTTTGGCAGTTGAAGAAGGCTTCTCAGAAGACAGATTCTTAAGGTATTTTGAGGTATTGCTGAGACTTTGGTAAGTGAAAGAGCAGGGGAGGATATTCAAGGCAGAGGGACTTCAAAGGACATGGGTAGAGGCAGGGAGGCAAAATGTACAGAAAGGGTCTGCAGGACAGGAATCCATTTGGATGGAGAGAGGAAGCTATGAAAAGTTGTAGGAGAGAGAGTAGGAACAATTCAAGGTGGGTCTGGGGCTTAATTTGAAGAGTTTTCACAGAACAATGAGACCCCAGATTTTGGGAAGCTGTGTTTGTGGCTCATGGTGCTCCGTGGTCCCTGTGCTGCCCCAGGGGGATGCATAGCTGGGGGATCAGACCTGGGGGTGAGCTTGCTCTTAACACACTAAGTGGAGGAGCAGTAGCAGGAAATCTAGGCTTGGGATCCAGTTTCTAGTCATTTCTACATGGGTGTGATATTGTGGTAGCAGATTTGTTCTCTCTTTGGCATAATATTAAAATTGTTCAGAGTCTCTGAATGGAACTAAGTGACCCAGGCAGCAAGAAATTCAGAATGTGACAGGGAGGGGCTGACCCACAGCAGTGTTCAAAGTTCACTTGAAGTGATTCAATGCACTGAGTTACAATTACAGCTGCAGCACAGCTGTGCCGCTCCGTCTTCCCCTCTCCTCCACATCACCATCAGCATCATCGCCTCAAAGCAGCAGCACCCACAAACATTTACTGAGCATTGACTCTCCATGTGGGCAGTTCTGTATGTTTTGTAAGGGACATGAATTCCATTCCACAACATGGGTTCCAGAAATGTCACTTTTTTTCCCAAAATCAAAATTCACTTTTCTTGGAGTACCTTTTGGTTAAGCTGGTGGGAAATTAAATTTCAGTCATTCCTGGGGCTTTCCCCTTGTCCCCAGTTTCACCAGAGGCTGTACAATGAATGGTTCCGAGAGTCTTACAAAGTCTAGAACACTGGGAGAAGGCCCTCTGGCCTTGGGAACACAGGGGTCTCTTCTCATATGTTTCTCATTCTGGTCCCTCTGACTCCTTAGTGGCCACAGCTCTGGTGTTTTCCTGCCAGCCCTGGACAGTGAGGTGGGGGGTGTCTTAGCTGGGACACTGTGCCCCAGTGCCAGGCGTCCAGTATTTCTGTCCTGCCACATCCCCCAGGTGCTTCAAGAGAACAGGCCCTGACTACACTCAAGGCCCAGCAACAAGGTGCACCCTCCCTCATCCCGGAGGGAGCTCCCCAAACCTCCCTGGACTCGGCTGTCTGGGTCTTCCCCATTCAACAGCTCTTTCCTCCCCTTCCTCTTCTCTGGGTCTTTCTTTGCACAGTCTCCCTTCCACACCATTAGAAACCAGTGCTGGCTTCTCCTCCCCGGGGGTGTGGGAATAAAAATTTCAATGTCACTTGGCTTTTTTTTTTTATCCTAGCGCATCTTTTTACAGTTAGATAATGCACAGGACACAAAGAAGTGCAACACAGGGGCCTGTTGCCAATGAGCTTAAAGTCTATAGGGGGAGATCCACAAAAATAATCAATAGCAGTTCATGGCCCAGCCCAATGTGCCACACACCTTTCACCAAGAAGAAGTGTCCTTTTCTCACACCTGTATCCCTCCTCACCTTTCTTCTGCTCCTCTCTGACCTGTGTACCTGGGGCTGATTTCCAGGTCACTAAGCCCAGGAACTGGGTGGACGTCTCTGAAGGATCCACCACCGTGATCCTCGGGGTGACCTCCTCGGTGCCCTCCTTGCCACTCCCCAATATCCTCCTGATGGCCAATGTTACCTGGCCCCGGGGTCAATTTTCCACCTGGAGCACACCTAGTGATGCCCCGCTCATCACCCTCAGAAGGTAAAGAAAGGCTTGAGGGAGGGGCCAAAGGGTGGGATGATTGGCATACGCACTGTTTTACAGGTGGATTTTTTTTTTAAAGATGACCGGTAAGGGGATCTTAACCCTTGACTTGGTGTTATCAGCACCACACTCTCCCAAGTGCGCCACAGGCTGGCCCTACAGGCAGATTTTTGATCAAAAGAAAGAACAGCATTCTTTGGTGTATAAACTATGCAGAAGAGTGGTGGCGCTCCCGCCAAGGGTTCGGATCCCACATACAGACAGGGTGCTCACTGGCTGAGCGAGGTGCGGGAGCAACACTGAGGGTTGCGACCCGTTGCTGGTCACGAAAAAAGACAAAAAGGAAAAGAAAAACTATGCAGAATGCATTCATTATTCGGTTATCAAATATTTATTTAGTATCTGTAAGCACCAAGCACTGTGCTTGGTATTGGGGATAGAGCAGTACACAGTTCCTGTCTCGAGCCTAGTTTTTGAGGATCTTGGCTTCTTTTTGTTTACTTTTATTTTGTCAAGATGGATGTAGGGGGTTTCCAAAGAAAAGATGGGAATATGAAACTCAAATAGGACTATGGGGTGTTGAAACTGAAAAAAAAAAATACTGGATGTATAGGAGACATCCATCCTTCTTACCCTTCCAACACAGTTGATTAGTCTATAAGAAGGCGGACTGGAAATGGAGTCAGGAAGCCTTGGTTCCAGTTCCTCCTTAATAAGATCAAAACTCGGGGAAATCACTTAGCTTCTCTGAGCCTCAGTTTTGAAATCCGTCAAGTGAAATTAATGGCAGTTATCTTTCATCAAAGGTTTGTTGTGAGAATTCAATGAGATGTTGTACATTAATATCAGCCATTGCTATTGAGGTGGGCAGATTCTTTAATAGCTGTAAGTTCTGGAAAGTAGAAAGGAGTCTGTCTTAGTAATCATTCCCACTCAGAACCTATGCCTTCTCCCTCCAGCACCCCAGCTGGGGAGGGAGGCTGGTGAAGCTGTGCCAAGCTCTAGGTAGGCACCAGCATGGCTGGTAAGATCATGGGCTCTGCTTTGGGAATTTTCTGCTCATGCCCAGGATTCTGCCCCTGAAGTACGTGGAGCTACAAATCTGTGACCAGCTCCAACGCATCCTGAGGGTTAGGACAGTGACTGAAAAGATCTACTATCTGAGGCTCCACAAAAAACACCCAGAGTCCGTTTTTCAATTCTGGATCCGCTTGGTGAAAATTCTGCAGAAAGGTCTGTCCATCACCACCAAAGACCCAAGAATCCGATTCACTCACTGCCTGGTACCCAAAATGCCCAGCAGCTCCACCGAAACAACAGTAAGTGGGGCCCTCCCTTATATATATATAATTTCTGTAGAGAAATCACATGTATGTATGTATGTGTGTGTATGTACATGTGTATATATAATATAAATATATCTCTCTGAATGCTGCTTTTTTCACTTTGTATTATATCACAGGCACTTTTTCATGTCTTTAAAAAACTTTTTGTAAATATCATTTTGATAATTTCATTCTATTTGGTTTCATGAATGAATTAAAAGTTCACTTAACCATTTCCCTAATGTTAGACAATTAGCGTTTCTAATTTTTCATTATTGTTAATAATGCCAAAATGAGCATTTATATATATCATTCACATATCTGATTGTTTTCAGGTAGGCTTTTAGAAATAGAATTTAAAGGGCATAAACATTTTTTAAGGCTCTCGATACATACTGTTGATTATTTCCATTAAGTTCATGCCAAATTGTACTCTCACCAATAATATGAGTGTCTGTGTCACTATATCCTATCGCAATTGAGTAATATAAGTTTTAATAGATTTTCTCATATGATAGGTAAAAAGTTGGCATCTCTGATTTTCACTGTCTGAACGTGGTTACATGTATATGTTTGCATTGTCTCTTGTGTTTGAAGGCCATTTTTCTATTGGCAGTCTTGTATTTTTTCTAAATTGATTTGTAAAATAATTTTTAACCCTTTAGTCACAAGTTTTTACAAATATTTCCTCAAGGATTTGATCTTCCCTTTCAGTTTATTTAGGGCGTTTTTTTGACACACATAAGTCTTTTCGAGGACCTGCTTAGTGTAGAAGCACAGGAAGGAAAGCTCGGTAGATTGGATTGCTCAAAACCTTCAGATTTCAGAATCTGAATACTTTCCTCCTCTCATTTAAATTGAATGCTTTAGGCAACTTTGCAAGGCAGCTGTTTTACAGCATAACTGCTGTGATACTTAACATTCAGATCTTGTGCTCTGGACAGAGTAGCCACCCCAGCCCACCATAGAGAGGGTGTGGTTCTGCCAGAGGTCCTGTTTATTTTATATATGTGTGTGTATAATATGTGTATATATGTATATTTATGTTATACATATATATATGTGTATTATATGTGGGCATATACATATTATGTATAATGTCAGAGAAATGGATTGGCCTGATTCTGGAACTTAATGCTTAAGGAACAGGCTGCTATACAAGTGAGTTTCCCATACTCGTGAAACTCAAGTGTAATCCCACAAGTTCCTTCAAGTTTCCACCCCAAAGAAGCCAAGAACTCCATGAGCAGACCTGGCCCTCTGACTCTTAAATTTCTCCCTTCAGCCTGAAAGCAGCCTTCCAACATCCTCCCAACCCAGCGAAACCCTCATGCTGTTGGCAGCCGAGCAGACCAGTGACAGTTTCTTGCAACTCTCAGGAAGGCCCCAACTCACAACAGACAGGTGGGTCCTCTGTGTGGTCAGCTCCAGCATCTCCCTGCCCTCACCATCCACCAGCATAGAGTCCTGGGGTCAGTGACACCCTCTACCAACCTATCTCAGTTCCTTCTTTTTATTCTGGGTAGTCATGTGCATGACTTTTCCCCTCAACTTTACTGTCCTTGAAAACAGGGTCTGTGACTTTGATCTGAATATTCATCCCTAGGCATTCCCAGTGTTTTCCAATGGCAGGTGCTCATTAAAAAGAATGAGAGGTGAGTAAATTAATTCAAAGAAGTGTAAGCTAATAAAGCAGGCTCATGGAGTTAGCTACTGACCATCTCAAATCCCAGATCACAGGGGTCCTCTGGGTAAGACCCTAGTTCTCTTTGCCTCACCTGCCCCTTCTGTAAAGTGGACAGAATAGACATGGCTAGAAAGATTTCACAGGGGAAAGAAAATGGACGGAATAGACAGTAACCAAAGGGGATACTACCACCAGCTCCAAAGTCTTACGAATTTACTAATTATATTAGACTCCTTCAGTAGCAAGCAACAGAAACCCAAAGCAAGATAGTGCAACCAAACGTTGAAAAGTACAACTTGTAGTGTATCATCAAAACACAATTTGATTTTTGTCTTCTCTTTATAAATTTTTTCAGTGAGGCAAGTTTTCCTTAAAACTTATAAAAAGCTGGTTCTCTGGGCAGGCCCCATAGCATATAGGCCTCCTCTTAGAATATAAAATGTCCCTTGGTCCCTTTAAATTGCAAAAGCAGACTCGATTCTGAAATTAAAATTTCCAGTCCCTGAAAATGATCAAACCTCTGAACTTATCACACCTTCTCCCTACCCCCAGCCTGGCCCCTGTCAAGATGGCCTTTCCTAGAGGGGGACTGCATTTTTCTTCTCTTCTCCTTCTGTTTTCTAATGTTTAAAGCTGGCTTTTTCTCTTAGGAGCCTTCTTGAGTTCTTTGAAGTCCCCTGCCTGGCCCCTCAACTGCAACTGTGACACCTGCCTTTCATCTGGGCACTGCCCCCTCAGGCCCTGGCTCTGCATCTCACCCAGGCACTAGCTGTCAGAGTCCCCTCACCCACTCAAGGAGTTCTCTTGGGTAGGGCTTACAGTCGCTCCAGGCTGGCAATCTCTCTTTCTCTTTTGCTCCCTAGAATTTTCCTTTACTTTTTGTCTCAACAATGCATTTAAAATTATGTTTATTACATTTTATCCAGCATTTCTAGGTGTTTTGCAGCAGCGTTCTTTAGATTATTCGGCCATATTATTTTTAACTAAATAACCCCAACATTATTTTCACTTTAAAAAAATATCACAGTGCTTATCTCTGAATAGTTACACTGTGAATACTTTTTATTTTCTTTTTGGTGCTTTTTTATAGTTTCTATTTTTTTCTTTAAAAACAAACATGTATTTCACCTCTAATTAGAATTTTAAAAATATTTTTAGGGGTCGGCCCAGTGGTGCACTGGATAAGTGCGCCGCTTGGGAAGCGCGGCGGCGCTCCCGCCCGAGGGTTCGGATCCCACATACTGACCGGTTCCCGCTCACTGGCTGAGCGAGGCGCGGGAGCAGCGCCGAGGGTTGCAATCCCGTTGCCGGTCCCCGGTCCGGTACGGGGGCAACACTGAGGGTTGCGATCCGTTGCCGGACACGGAAAAAGACAAAAGACAAAAAAAAAAAAAAAAAATTTTTAGCCATGCCATGTGTTTTTCTAGACACACTAAGTGGTTGTAATTTTTTTTAAGTTTTATCACTTTAGAAAACTGTTTTAAGATTTTCTTTGCACTTAGGCTGATGTGAAGATCTGGCAGGATAAAGTGGGCATCAGGCAGCTCCCCGTGGGTTCAGATTTTGCCTTTGAGTCATAACGCATTAGGCTGTCAGCGTAGCAAAGTGACACTTAAGGTTTGAGAGTTGTTTGTTCTTCTTCAGGAGGGCTGCAGTCTCCCTCCTCCTCAGCTTCCTCCCTCAAGTCCCTCTAAATACATCATGTCATATATGCATATTGTCACTGCCCTTCATTTCCAGCACTCATGCTGGAAAATACATAATTAGAAAGTGGTTAGAAGGGCCGGCCCGTGGCTCACTTGGGAGAGTGTGGTGCTGACAGCGCCAAGTCAAGGGTTAGGATCCCCTTACTAGTCATCTTTAAAAAAAAAAAAAAGAAAAGAAAAGAAAAAAAGAAAATGGTTAGAGCACCACCTTGTAACGCTAAGGAAAAGGGTTCGGATCCCTATACTGGCCAGTTGCCAAAAAAATAAATAAATAAATGGTTTTCGAAATAGATTTTTAAAATTTTTTTTAATTTATTTTATTTATTGAATCAAAATTGATTATACATATTTTGGGGGTTGAACATTGAGATATGTTGATTAAATCAATATTACTAGCATATATGTTGTTACAAATCGTAATTATTCTTTATGCCCCTTGTCCAATCTCACCCCTTCCCCCATTCCCTCCTCCTCCCCCCTTTAATTGCCCTAGATTTCTTCTCTCCTTCTGAAAGAATCATGGTTACTCTGTTAACTTGTTGCCTAGATGATCTGTCCAATGCTGCCCCCCCCCCCCCCCTCTCCCAATATTATCATAGAGCAGATGCTTCTTCTGTCACTCTGAAATGGGTTTTGTGGAAAGAGACATCCTCTTCTTTTCTTTATCTCTGCTCGTGACCCTTCTTGTGTGAATGCACTCCAGTGGTTGGCGGACCATCTGTGTGATGGTTGTGGCATGTAGCCACTTTCGCGGCAGCCATGGTTATTGTAGTGGCTGTGGTGGGCCACCCACATGGAGGTGCTGTTTCTGGTATGCTCCTTGGCACTGGCGGTATGCCTGGTTGTGGGGTGTGTTTGGTCCCCTTCTCCATGCCTCTGGTCCCTGGGCAGGCCCCAAGGCGATGGCACCATATGCCTAGTTGTGGGAGAGGGGTCCAGTCCCCTTCTCCATGCCTCGGGTCCCTGGGTGGGCCCTAAAGCTCTGGCACAGTGTGCCTGGTTGTGGGAGAGAGGACCATTCCCCTTCTCCTTGCCCCAGGTCCCTGGGTGGGCTCCAAGGTGCTGGTGTGGTGTGCCTGATTGTGGGAGAGAGGTCTGTTCCCCTTCTCCATGCCTTGAGTCCCTGGGTGGGCCCTGAAGCACTGGTGCAGTGTGCCTGGTTGTGGGAGAGAGGACCGTTCCCCTTCTCCTTGCCCCAGGTCCCTGGGTGGGCTCCAAGGTGCTGGCATGTTGTGCCTGTTTGTGGGAGGGTGGTCTGGTCCCCAACTCCATACCCTGGGTCCCTGGGTGAGCCCCAAGGTGCTGTTGTGGTGTGCCTGGTTGTGGAAGAGAGGGCTGGTCCCCTTCTCCCTGCCTCGGGTCACTGGGCAGGCCCCAAGGTGCTGGCATGGTGAGCCTGGTTGTGGGAGGGGTGTCCAGTCCCCTTTTCCATGCTTCAGTTCCCCAGGCTGGCCCCGAGGCACTGGTGCAGTTTGCCTGGAAATGGGAGTGGGGTCCGGTCCCCGGATTCAAGCCTCTGGTTCCCAGGCAGGCCCCAAGGTGCTGGTGTTGTACCTGGCCCGGAACTAATTTTTTGTCCTTTGCTTCTAACACGGGGGGGGGGAACTTCCTGTGGGAACCAGTACTTGAGTGTGTGGTTGTTTAAATAGTTACTTAGCTGCTGTTTCCCTATGGAAGGCTTTTTGTGCAGCTGAGGGTTTAATGGTTGATCTTATAGGTTCTTCCGGCTCTCCAGACACCAAGTGGGTCTGTGTTCTGTAGAATCTGTGATCTGGGCCTGAGTTTTTTCACCAAACCACACCCCATGCAATTCTGCATTCCTGACCATTCTCCTCTGAGTGGTCCTGCGCTGATTGGGGGGCAGGTCGGCTGTCCTTGCTGTGTCCCAGTGTTCTCCCGGTGTTCCCATCTCGCCCACCGCCCATGCTCCAAACACTTCCCGTGGGATGGGCCCTGTGCTGGTCCCTTGCGGTGACTCACCAGCCTCTGAATGGCTCCCTTTTTTCAGCTGTTCTGGCTCCTCACTCCTGTGTGGGTCCATGGGAACCCTATTAGTGGTCTTGCTGTCCCGGGGGCCACCAAGGCCCTCTTCTCTCCTGCCGCCTCCAAGCAACTCCATCTGAAGGGCACAGCTGCGGCTTCTGCCGGCTCCTGCTCCATGATCCCAGCAGTTGCAGCCTTAAAGCAGCTGCGGCCCGAAATGCTCAGAGCAGCTTTTTCTTTCTCTCTTTGTAGTTTCTCCCGCCTTCATGAACTCTGTCGGTCTCTCCTCCTCTTCCCCTGAGCTCCAGCGGCCCTGGCTTGGCTGATGTTAAATTTTCGTAGTTGTAAATTTGGTTGATTTGCGGCACAGAGTGATGCTGGGAACCTTCTATTTCGCCATCTTGATTTCGTGTCCCCAAAATAGATTTTAACAATGTTTTCTTTTCCTTCTATTGCCTTCAATGACCTCAAAATCCCTGGGCTCCAACAGAAACACTGACACTGCCATTGAAACAGACGATTCTGAAAAGACACTCTCACTGGTGGCATCTCCAGTCAGTTTGAGTATACCCATGAGAGCCGCCTTGAGCCACAGCCTCTGGGAACAAGAGGACCCAAATGAGCACTTCCTGCAAGCTCCTGTAGCCAGCTCCCTAGGAGAGAACCTGCTGAGGCCCTGACACCTAGCCAAAATGGAGTGATCATCGCTGACTTCTGTGCACATGCTGCAATCTCCTATGATGCTTTTCCCACTGTGGGCCAAGTGACCATGGGAGAGGTAAGATGGTGTTTATAACAAGGTGCTGCTTTACTTCCACCAGTAATCCTCCACATGAGTCCAGAATTGTGCTGAGTTGTGCTAAGGGTGGGGGGGTGCTCCAAGCTGAATGGGAACAGGAGCTCACTTCTTAGGAAAATAAATGGAAAAAAATTTACTATCTGCTCAATTGCAATCTCAGAGCAGCTAAGCAAAGCCAAGAAGGCCAGTCCAAAGGAACGGGGGGAAATCCAACTTCCTCTTTCAAATGGGGTGGGAGCAAACAGGGGAAGGGCTGCTACAAGAAACCCAAAAGGAAAGAAATCCTGAGGATGATGGTGACCAGCTGGGAGATACCTCCCTGTTGCCCCACTTAAGCAAGAAATTGAGTCTGTCTCCCCACTCCCTGTGTTGGTGTAAAACTATGAAGGCTCACCCTGGGCTGTGCGAACTTTGCTTGGTAATGAATACTTGGTTTCTGGGAAGGAAGATGGTGACTACTTGGAATCCTGATTGATTTGTCTTTTCCTACCCAGGACCTAATGAAAGCAAAGTTGAAGACATGGTGTCTTTGTGTATTGGCGAGGGGCAGGAGCTTTGGCCAACCTCTGGACAAGTAGGGAATATTTACTTGGAAAATACCATCACAATATTTCAGTAAGTATTTACCAAGCTCCTGCTAGGTTCTAGACAGTTTGATAGATGCTGAGAATATTAGAGAGAACAAGTTGCCTGCCCTTAGGGAGAGTATGGGAGAGATACCAAGCCCTATTTTGGAGACATGGGAAGGCTGTTAAGGTTGGTGTAATGTTTGAGCCACCAAGTCTGCAAATAAAGTCTGGAGGACCTGGTTTCCTATAGTTCACATCACATGTGTGTTGCAGGGAGAAAGAACACGATTGCCCTCCCTCTTGTGCATGCTCAGTTGGGCTGAGCGATAAATCCTGGCTGGACTGGTTCAGAAAAGACTTCCAAGCTGAGAAGATACCTAATGTTTGTGTGTTTCTTCCTGCCTCCAATAAAAATAAGAACAAAACAAATTTCTTTTTGACATGTTATAATCAAGTAATCTGAGCATTGTTGGTGCTGGTAAGGGACATTTAGCGGTTGAATTTAGAAGAGACTAATACAAAGGGTGACCATACTTCCCAATTTATGCCTTTAGTCCTAGTATCATTATTAATTTCATCCATTTCACTCTCAGAAGTGTCCCTTTATGAATCGTAAATTATGTTGCCACCCTACCAATATGGTAGGGGTACAAACATTTAAAAGATCTCCATCCCCACTTCTATTGCCTTGGTTTAAGCCTCCATCAGCCCTCATAGGTAATATTACTACTGTAATAGCCCCAGACTCCATCATCATTAAATCAATAATAGCTAACATCATCGGAAACTTACTATGTTCCAAACCGTATTCTAAGACTTTACAAAAACCACTTAATCCACATCATAACGCAATGGGAAGTAGACACTCTTATTATCATGTTTTATAGATGATGAACCCGAGCCACAGTGAGATCTAAGAATTTGCTGAAGGTCATGCAGGTAGTAAGTAGCAGAGCCAGGACTTGAACCCAGTCTGTCTAACTCCAAAGTCATTACTCCTGATGACTCTCCAATCTCGTCCCAATCCATTCCCCTTCCATGCCTCTAACAGAGCAAACTTTCTGAAACATAAATCTGACCAGGGCTTCTCCCTGAATAAAACCAAACTATCTGACATGAAGTGATCAGGCCCTTGCCGAGCTCTCCAGCCTTTCCACTGGCCACTGCTCCCCATGAACGTTATGTTCCCACCATGTCAAAGTTCCTGTGGTTTCCTAAATGCACCATATTTTTAGATACCAGAAGGATGTCACACATACTTTCCTTCTACCTTTTCTTGCTTTTTCTACCTGTTACCCTCACGATACTTGTCCTTACTGATGGAGTTATGCTATGCTACTCTTGTGCCCTGTGTGTGCATTATCTATTACACCACTGTAGTTATTTGTTTACACATCTGTCTCCTTGAGAACTATGAACTATGAACTATTTGAGAACAGATACCATTTCATATCAGAGTTCTTTGATTGCCAGTAAGACAAGCTGACTCTAATTTAAACCAAAAGGAATTCATTGGAAACATGTGAGTTAGCTCACAGAACCAACGGGACAACCAAAGAGCCGGTCTTGGAATGCACTGACATCACAACAGCTCTGGGAATTCAAGCAGGGGTGGATAATTTACCATCTCATCAAATGCTGCAGCAGGCTGGGTGGTTTCTCCAAAGGAAATTGAGGGGCGTTGCAAAAGCACAAGTAGGGAAATGGATGTGTGGTACCTGATAATAACAAGTATCCTCTACAGTCTGACTCTTTTCCCTCTGTTGGGAGAGGCACTCTGACATGGGCCTTGAGCATCTTTCCATGTCCTTGCTAGGCATACCAGATTCCAAGACCTAACTATCCTCTGATCCTGAGCTGTTCCTGTAGCTAGTCACATAGGCAATTAGTAGGTCTAGGTGACCACAGCATGACTACTTGCTCTCCAGGGGAGGACACTGGTTTGAGTTCGGTTATTTGCCATAACAGGCACTGAGACCTTAGCCCTGGGTTCCTCAGCTACAGTGCAATCCATTGTGTGCATAGCGCTCATCTGGGCCCATGACGCTGCTTGGGGACAGGGTGACTGGCCATGTTGATGCTCCTGCTGTTTGCTGTGCTGATAGTAATAAACTGTCTTGCTTTGATCCACTGAATTTCCTCGTCTACTTCGGGCACCTATGTGATTGTGGTAAGTCAACCTGCTTCCTTGCTTATCATTTTTTTAGAGTATTGTTTCCCCTTGCCATCCTCTGTGAAACCTAGATTATTCTCTGTCCAAACCCATATACACTTTTATTCTATCATTTTTTTCACTGTTAAAAATAATCTCCAACTAACATAATGCCTCTATTTTGAAAAAGTACTCCATCTTTACAGAGAAAACACAAAGCCTCTGTCTTAGTCTGTTTGGGCTGCTATAACAAAAATACCATAAACTAGGTGGCTTATAAACAAACATTTAGACTTCTGGTCAAGATGGCAGAACAGATGTTCCCCAGCATGACTCTCTCCCACAAATCAACTAATTTACAACTATGAAAAAGCAACGACAGCCAAGCAGGGGCCGCTAGAGCTCATTGGAAGAGGAGGAGAGACCTACGGAGTTCATGAAGGCAGGAAAAGCCACGAAGAGAGAAAGAAAAAACCCCTCTGACCATTTTGAGCCCAGACTGCTTCCAGGCTGGAGTTGCTGAGCGCACGGAGCAGGAGCCGGCAAAAGCTGCAGCTGTGCCCTTTGGAAGGCGTTGCTTGCAGGCAGCAGGGGACAAGAGGGTCTTTGTGGCCCCCAGGCCAGCAAGACTACTAATAGGGTTCCTGTGGACCCACATAGGTGCGAGGAGCCACAACAACTGAAAAAAAGGAGCCACTCAGAGGCTGGTGAGTCATCAGAAGAGACTGATATACAGCCTGTCCCATGGGAAGTGTTTGCAGCACAGGCAGTGGGGGAGACGGGCCCACCAGGAGAACACTGGGGCACAGCAATGACAGCTGATCTGCCCCCCAGTCAGCACAGGACCACTCAGAGGAGACTGGTCAGGAATATAGAATTGCATGGAGTGCAGTTTGATGAAAAAACTCAGGCCTAGACCAGAGTTTCTACACAACCCAGGTACGTTGGATTTCACTAAACCTGGAAGTCCTGTGAAGTCAACCATTAAAACCTGAGTTGCACAAACAAGGAATCAGCAGCAAAGCAGAAATTTAGCTCAACCACAGAGCTCAAGTACTGATCCCCACAGGAAGTTCCTCCACTTTAGAAGTAAGCAAAGGACAACAAATTAGCTCTAGCATAGAGTTTAAGTGGTGGAAACAGAAAATAATCCAACACAGAACTGAAAGAAGAGACAGAGTACCCACAACCAGAGACAAAGTTTTATATTAACTAGTAAAAGTCTCATTTCACCAAAGAACACCTATCACACCTAGAAGGACCGTAAGTCCCCTGGGTTACCAAGCCAGAAAGGGGGGACAACCAGGCCCATTGCCAGTGCCATAGGGCCTGGATCCAGGGACCAGACCCTCCTCCCACAACCAGGCACAACACCAGCGCCATGGTGGCCTGCCTGGGGTCCTGAGGTGTGGAGTGCGGACCAGACCCTCCTTGCATAACCAGGCACCCTGCCAGTGCCAGGGGGCCCACCTGGGGTCATAAGGTATGGAGCCAGGGACCAGACCTCCTCCCACAACCAGGCACACCACCATTGCAACCACCAACTAGGTAAGGAGCATGCCAAAAACATCATGTCCATGTGGGTGGCCCACCATAGCCACCGCAATAACCATGGCTACCATGAAAGCAGCTAGATATCACAACCACCGTGCAGATGGTCTGCCAACCACTGGAGTACATTGACAAAAGGAGAGTCACCAGCAGGGGCCAAAGAAAAGAAGAGGATGTGTCTGTCTACAAAGCTCATTCCAGAGTGACAGAAGAAGCATCTGCTGTATGATAATATTGAGGAACCTGAACACAACTTTCAGCATTGGACAGGTCATCTAGGCAACAAATCAGCAGAGTAACCACTACTCTTTCAGAAGGAGAGAAGAAATCTAGGCTAATTCGTGGGGGAAGGAGAGGGGGATGGTGAGAGATTGGACAAGGGGCATAAAGAGTAAGTATGATTTGTAACAATATGTATGCTAGTAATATTGATTTGATCAACATACATCAACATTGAACCCCCAAAATATGTATAATCAATTATGATTCAATAAAAATAGGTAATAAAATAAAATATAATAAAAATAAACAAACATTTATTTTCTCGTGGTTCAGGAGGCTGGGAAGTCCAAGATCAGGACACTGGCAGATTCAGTGTCTGATGGGTGC